AGACAAAAATGTCACAATTTCCAACCATATGTTAGTTGTTGAATCTAGATTCTCGCTGGTGAGCAGCGAGAGGTCTACTACCAGCCCCATTATTGTTTAATCTCACCTTATTAATATGCAGATTCCCATTCTACAACCTGCTGGATAGAAACTGGACACTGAGAATTTCTGACAAGTAAGTCAGACCTTGCATTTGCTCCTCCAGACCTCCATCTTGGATACCTGGCTCCAACAACTCAGGGCACTATCCATAGACACATACCCCATGTCCACAGTTGTTGGCTATAACACAAACCACCAGAATCATCACGGCACATCTCGGATCTAATTATAATACTCTTCTGCAATTCAGTGCTGCACTTTGGAGGGCACCAGCACCTTTCATTGGAACACTGCTGAAAAGACACTTCACACCCAGCTCATGGATTGGGCCAGAGATGCTTGCAGTATCCATCTTGTCTTGCTGTTTACAGCAGACACAAAGGCAGGCAGCTTTTCATACTTGTCAGCAGTCATTGTTGCTGTATCAATCTCACATCTACCACATGTTCAGCAGTCTACATTGTAAACATATTATTGCATATACTACACGTGCACCACCCAAATGGCCATGTCTTAAAGTTGAAGGGGAGTAGACTTTAGACAAGTCAAAGTGGGGAATGTTGCTCACAGTGCAGGGGCTTGGGAACACTCAGTCACTGCTTGGCAAGTTTACGGTCAGGATGTCTGACTACAGTTGACAGAGTCAGTACAGTACACCACAGTCAGTCCTGCAGCTCCTATGCAACCAGCCATGTGATTCATGGACTGGCAGCTGGGGGAGCTGCATGGGGAGTGGTCATGGGTTTGGTCAGTCATCGTTCAGGACTGTCCATCCAATTTGGTCAGGCCATAATCAGTCTTGGGGGTCAGTGAAATGAAAGTCAAGAGAAGAGTATCAGGAATCACTATTGTGGTAGGGAAGTGGCAGGATCTTAAATGGGAATTGGAGGCAGCAACATGTGATGCAGAAGGTACAAAGGAGGTGAGGGGAGAAAATACAGGATAAAGTCATGCATGGGTGGATATGAGAAGAAGTCATTATCAGTGGTCACTGACACTCTGGCCTCAGTAGGGAAAGTGTGTATCATGATGGAGAGCAGTAATCATGATCAAGAGAAGAAATCATGAAAAAGAGCAAAAATCACGATGAAGAGCACAACTAATCTGTAGTGATGGGGCTCAGGGGGTAAGGATGAGAGTTCTGTGGGAATATGTGGGAGATCCATAGTAATGGGCTGGTCAAGGAAGTGCCAGGAAGAAAGGGACCTGGAAGTCCTTGGGATTGGGTGCCTTGATAATCAGACTGAGGCTGAGCTTCACGGTGCCGAGCACAACCTGTGTCACTTTCCATGATCTTTTGATTTCAAAATGTGACCTGTGAAGGGAAAATGGCCGTAACCACATCCAGAATGAGTAGAGTGAATAACTGTGTGGGCCGCCACTGCTGGTCGCAAGCAATCTCGATGAGATCATTGGTCAGTGCTGATTGCAGATCGACAGACATCTCCATGAAGCAGAAGTAATCACACATGACATTAAAATAGGCACCTTCAGGCCACAAAGCAAAGTTCATGCACAGACTGCACAGGGGCATAGAGCTGATTCCCTCTCACCTTGAACTATACATATAATGCAACGTGTTGTTCCATGCAATGATGCCTTTTGTAAGTGATGTGCATTTGGGAATAGATGAGTGCAGTTCTCAAGCAGTATTTACATCTCCTTTAGTCTGTTTGCAACATGACTAATGCTGTGCGCATCAGCAAAAGGCCCAATGTCAAAGTCATGCAAAGCCACTCCACAGCCTTCCTTGTCTGAGTGCTCCATATCCCACTGTAAGGAGTAGTTTGCAAAGCTGCCATTTCAGAACACTACAAATGTTGACTGCTCACATTTGTAAGAATGTGCACCTCATAAAGGGCCATTGTAAGCATGACTAATGATTCCAGCCACAGCAGGGTTATCGTTGCAGTTGCTGTGACTCAATAAGGTGCAGAGAAATGGAAGAGAAACAGTAAGGTAAGCAAGCCCAGGGGGAGCAGCAAACTCCAGCAACACTGACCAGCCTTCAGATAAACAGGTCACAGTTAAAGGCTCACTCAGGTCAGAATGTTTTATCCTTGATGTCTATCCCAGGACACTGTCACAGAACTGTGCCAACTGCTGGGCTGGGACCTGTTGTCTGAAGGAGTGCACAGCCATCATATCCCAGTGGCCATCAATGTTACAGCAGCATGGAACTTTTATGTGCCTGGCTGCTTCCAAGGAACCACTCAGATCCTGCATGGGATCTCTGAATCTTCCATTCACAAATGTGAGTGTGACTGTGACCAATACCTTTGCACCAAGTCACACCAGTTAATCTCCTTTCCCTGTGGTGAGGTCAGTGCTGCAGCCCAGGCAGTAGCATTTAGGAGGATTCAGTAATATAGCAGACATTCCCCAGGGTGTGATAGGCGTAAACACATCCTGCTGAGAGTACCATTGCAATTGAGTTCATCAATGGAAACATCCATCAATGTGCAAATGATCTGTGATCATCAGTCCTATTTCTTAGAAGTTTGCGCCATGTACCTTGGTAGCTGCCATGATGCCTATATTGTTGAAACCTCTCACGGTCATGCTGTATTTAAGGGCCAGATGCCTTACAAGTATGGAGACAAGGGCTACTCTGTGTGACCATGGCTGATGACTCCATCACACAACCTCCTGATTGAGGAAGAGTGTAGATACAATGCAGCCCATTTTTCGACCTGGACCATTGTGGAGCAGACAGTAGGCCTGTGAAGATGATGTTCAGCTGCTTGCATTTGTCTATAGGGAGGCCTTGCCATACAGTCTAGGCAAAGTATGCTGCGTAATCGTAGCATGCTGTACTCTGCACAGCCGGAGGCAGGCAAAGTGGAGATGTGATGTAGGAGGATGATAAGTGGGAGAGCAAGAGCAATTTTCCGAGGAGGAGGGTGAGGTTATTGATCAGGAAGAACATCACCTTCTGCATAATAGAGTGCAACAGCATCGGGTGCTATAGACCAGTCAGGGCTTACTTTACACCCAGTTCCACTAGCTCAGAACTGGGTGCAGTGACTGTAAAATTGTTGATGCTGGAAAGTCAAGCAAGTTTCTAGAGATAACTGCAGCTTCTGTTTGTTTAATTTCTGATTACTCTTGATGTGGATAAATAGAAATTAATGTTTTTAAGTGATTGAAGACTTTCTTGCATGTGATGACACCACTCTGAACAATGATGAGATCCTGGTCTATAACAGACATTGGGGAGAGATTAGCAGTTCCTTAGAGAGGGATGAAATTCAAGTAAGGTGTATGGCCTGGTGCACGGATATGCATGTGCAAGGAACTGCCAGCCACGATACATACATGCCATGTGAAACTTTGGTTTGCGGTTCACAAATGGCACTTTGAAGGGCAACCTGGACTGTCAACATTTGACTGCGTACATATCTGAGATTCAAAGACTGCTGAGGGTTACAATATATCCCATCATGGGCAAGTATTTCTACCGACGGTGAGTGGGACATTCTGGAAAACGTTGGATGAGAGAAGCGCAAGAGAGGCATTGTGGTCGATAATGAGGCAGGCTTGGGACGATCATGTGGAACTCACTAGGCCATGTAGAGAGAAAACCTCCATGAGGCTCAATGAAAATGCCACTTAGCTAATTTCTTGTATATATCAGATTTTCAGATTCACTGAATTTGAAAAAGTTTCAATAGTACCTCATTTTTATATCGCATTTTGGGCTGGACAAGTTCTAATTCTATCTCACGCCACACAGTGGTAGTGCTACACAACAAGATGGACAATATCTCTATACTTTGTCTCCACAGAACAGTGGGGTGGCCGCTCCTACCAATACTGTAATGGGCATATACATCAGAGAGAGGTAGATTGGAGAGGGGGGAGGTGAAGTAGGTTTTTAATTTCTTCTTGGTTTTGACCTTCTCTATGAAGGCCCAACTAGGCAATATGTCCTTCAGGACAAGGCTAGTAGGTAGTAACATTCTGCCACTCTTGTTGATGGATATTGAAATCATCACATTCTAACAAACCCCATTCCCCCACTCCCACCCAATCCAGGAACCATCTTGTGCCTTTAATACTGCCAATGTTTTTTTCCATTTGTTTTAGCATTTAAAGATGGAGAACTAAGGGATGGTGGTAGGATGTCATCAGCAGGAGGTACCCAACTGATATTTGACCTGATATTATGAGACAATGTGCAAATTGGAGTCAATGCTGAGGATACGCAGTGCAAATCTTTCCCAGCTGAATACCACAGTGGTGCCACCACCATTGGTGTCTCTGCCCTGCCAATGTGACAAGAAATATGCAGGGACAGTGATGCAGGACTATCGGAAATAAGGTTTGACACGTACAAAATGAGTTTGCCAGGCACTTGCTTGACTAGTCTGTGAAGCATCTATCCAATTTTAGCTCAAGCACCAACACATTAGTCTGGAGAACTTTGCAGGTTCAGCTATGGGTGTGCCATTGTCCTGTTTGCCATGTTGTCCACCTGGCTTTATGTTTTTTCAATCTTTCTGTAGTGGTTTTGACAACCGAGTGGCCAACTGGACCATTAAATAGCCAATTAGATTGCTACACATCCAGGGTCACATGTGAAAAGGACTGGTTAAGGACAGCAGATCTCATTCCCTAAAAAGCACTAATGAAACAGATCATTCCATAGCACTCTGATAGAATTGTGGGCACTGACGTTAACTTGTGTTAATTAATGAATTGCATTAAGATTCTACCAGTGCTGGTTCTCGGGTTCAAACCTAAGTTAGAGGTATGAAGTTGGCCCTCCTTGATTAGAGTACCAATCCAAAATCATAACCTCAGCAAGACCACATCCAAGACCTACCTTTTGACCCAGGTATCTCTGAGACAGCCCCAGAAATATTTTCAGTGCCCACCTCAGAATTTCTCAAATCTTTTCAACTGATATATTTGTTTCCATTTTTAGAATACAGACTTGTTTTCTTTTGCTTCTCTGATGTAACCATTCATACTCGGAAATTCCATCTTGAACATTGAACAGGTTTTCAATACAGAATGTTTCAATAAAACTCCATTGCACCAGGACCATATAAAATGGAAGGTCTAGGTTAACAGTTGTTTGTGTATTTTGACAACTTTGTCTGTCAGAAATTTCCAATGTTATTAGAGGACTTGAGTTCAGTCTATTGTGGATGCAAAGGTGAGTGGGTATGAATATTTGAAAGAGCATATAAGATATAAGCTGGCGTGGGAAGTTACAAGGGTGAGTGTAGGCTGGAGTGCTTAACTCCAAGCAAGTGCAATGAAAATTCACCACACAAATACCTGGCGCGACAAAATGCCAGAAATTGAAGAATCTGCACGTGGATTCTTTCGGGTTTAGAAGATTGAGAAGTGATCTCATTGAAACAGACAGAAATCTGCCAGAGATCAACAGGATAGATGCACAGTCTCACATGAGAGATAGACCATTCAGTACTGAGATTAGGAGGAATTCCTTCACACCTTTGGGATTCTTCATCTCAGAAGGCTGCTGCAGCTCAGTCTTTGAAACAGAGATAAATAAATTTGTACACATAAAAACTATGAAGGGATATGGGATCAGTGCAGGAAAACGCTACTGATAAGCCATAATCTAGTTGAACAGTAAGTAGTCATGAGGGAACAAGTGGCATGCTCCTGGCCCTAGTTCCTGTGTTTCTACAGTTTTCTTCCCTCCTTTTCTCTAAGCAAATTCTCATATAATTATGAGTTTCTGCATTTGACAGACCTTTGTAAGGCTTGCCGTCTCCATTTTCTGCATTCTGAAATTAGTTCTACAGTGAACTGCAAGAGAAAGGACACCCTGGGCTCAATTTTTGATTTTCATCGGGCATGACACAGGCATTAAGCAGATAAACTGCTCATTTAATACCCAGTATGTGATCATATAAGATGTTGAGGGATCTTAACAGGGTAAGTGTGGAAAAGATACCTCTCACTTGAGGGAATCTAGGAATGGGATCACTGTTTAAAAATCAGGAGTCACATTTTTTTTGTGCTTAGAGGCTCATGAAGTTTTGAAACCCTCTTCCTGAAGTGGTGTTGGAAACAGTCATTAAATATTTTTAAGACAGTGCAGGATAGATCATTGTTAATAAAGGGGATGAAAAATTAGTAGAGGTAGGAGAAAATTGGCCTTCTACAGGAAGGAGGTTGTTAAACTTGAGAGGGTGCAGAAAAGATTTACAAGGGTTTGAGTTATAGGGAGAGGTTGAATAGTCTGGGGCTATTTTCCCTGAAGTGTCGGAGGCTGAGAGGTGACCTTATAGAAATTTATAAAATCATGAGGGGCATGAATAGGGTGAATAGCCAAGGTCTTTATCCCAGGGAAAGGGGTGACCAAAACTAGAGGGCTTAGGTTTAAGGTCAGAGGGGAAAGATTTAAAAGGGTCCTGAGGAGCAACTTTTTCAGACAGAGGATGGTGCATGCATGGCACAAGCTGCCAGATGAAATGTTGGAGGCTGGTACAATTACAACATTTAAAAGGCATCTGGATGGCTACGTGAATAGAAAGGGTTTAGAGGGTTATGGGACAAATGCTGGTAAATAGGACTAGGTCAGATTGGGTTGTCTGGTTGGTGTGGACGAGTTAGACAAAAGGGTCTGTTTCTGTGCTGTATCACTCTGTAACTCAATGAAATGTGGATTTGAATTCCAGTCAAATCAGCCATGATCATATGGAATGGCAGAGCTGGCTCCAGGGCTGAGTGGCAAGATGGCACTAGCAAAACTTTTCGGTTAAATCAAATCCATTAGTAGAATCGGAATCATCTTCTTTATTCCACGATTCTAGACTTTCCTCTAATTTTGTCTAATTTCTCTCTCTGTTTAGAGTTCATCCTTTCTTACATCCATCTTCCTTATCATTGTTATTTTCTTTCTCATTCTCCCCATTTCATTTCCCTTTCTTTTTCTTTCTTTCCCTTTTCCGTTTCTCTTTCTTCTTTCAGTCCATTATTTTCCCTTCTCTCTTTTTTCCACCAAATCAAGTTTTTTAAATTTCTCTTTCTCTCTCTCAAAATTAAGATTTTACATTTTTAACTGTATCTTAGCTAATTCTAGCTGTGACATCAGAGATTAGGTTTCCCTTCTTCTTATTGTAAATGTTGGATAATTACCTTCAGCATCTCCTCCTTAAGGAATCCTGCTTCTACTTCTACTTTCAACTGATCTGCGAACTCTCACTTGAATTTTATCCAAACATTTTAAATAATTCATTATTAAGTCTTCCACTCCCTGAAAACTCTCAGAAACATTCAAAGCCATTCTAAAAATCCAAACCATGCAATGAACTCCATCACAACACTTCTGTGTTGTCTTCAGAACTTTCAAGTACTAGTTTATTTTAAAGAGACACAGGTCCCTCTTAAATTCAATGAATTCAAATCCCAGTCAAGCACTTCCACTTGTTATGAGCCCAGCCAATGACTCTACTGGACAGGTCAGCTCCCATAATGAAATCTGATCTGATAGCCATTTTTTAAAGTTTAGTTAACATGGTGATCATTCACTGAAACATAGCCACATGAGGCAGCAGAGTTTCTTCAACAACAGAATAGATGTTTATTATACAAAAGGCAAAAACAGAAAAAGAAACAAACCAAGCTATCCAGAAATAGAACAGTTATGAAAATCTTAAAATATTCAGCAAAGTTTCAACCGATTACCCAATACTTAATAGCAATTCAAAATCATAGAAATTAACCACATCTCTATCTCAAATCTTTAAGTTTGACTTAATGGATTCTCCTCAGTTTCTGTTCTGTAAGCTGTGGAAAAGTATTTTTACATGAAGATTCTCAAAACTGAGAATATAGCCTTACTCAACTTCTAATGACTTTCAGCTTTCGAGCTAAACAGTCTTGGTCTGGACGTTGCACAAACTAAACTCTTCTACTGAGGTAACTTATTCCCTTAACCACTCTGAAAACACCCCCTTCTTGGAGAAGGTCTATGCTTGCTGTTGACCTCAGTCATATCTCCTCTGAACTGCCCTAAAAATTTCAATCTCCAAAATTTCCTATGCTAAAATCTATCCTTGATTATCATGAAGCAAAATAAGCCAATGGCCTTCAATATTTACTCTACCTATCATAAACTACCACTGTATGAACAATTTTTCATAACATATACAGGATTAGGTCACTGTCCTAGAAGGACTGCCTGACCTCATCATTTCTTTGAAAAACTTCAAATTAACCAATACCTACAAGCAACTATTTTAAAATAAAACTCTCTCCCCATATATATTATATATAAAAAAAACTCACACAGCTCTCAACACAAGAGTGAGAAATGGAAACAAAGAAGAAATCTCAACTCCAGACTAGGAAACAGGTGAAGAGATGGAGGATGAGATTGAGTGGTTTTGACTGAAACAGGGAGTAAGGGAAGAAAGGAGAGACTCAAGATTTTTTTTTTTGTTTTAATCCTCTGACATTTATATTTATGTTAAGTCAGATTGGGATTTTATAATTTATAATTTGGATATTCAATGGCATATTTAATGGCAACCTGTTGTCAATGGTGGTATCCAAACTCTGACCTCTGACCCTGACCCTGATCCTGGAATCAGGTCATTGTGAAATCAAGGATGATGTGTCCATCTTGAGGCCTGCCCCTTCTCCAAATCCACACCAGAGCAGATTCTCAGAAACTGGTGAACATCCCAAGTCCAGAAGAAAGGATAAAGTTTCTCTGTGAATTTATTCCCAGTGAAGGTGTGGAGATGGGACTTGGTATCCACATTGTAAAATGAAACTGTCCCAGATTCATAGTTAAGACAAACTCTCACCTTCCTGGGGATCTGACCATCAGGGATAGGGGGTCGAGAGGAGGAGTTTACATGAAACTGATTCCCATCCCACCCAATGGTCCAGAATCCAGTCTCTGGCATCCGACTCAGTCTGAACCAATCCTTCCTCTCCACAGACTGTGCGGCTACACCCAGATTCCAGCACCGATTCTCTGCCACCTTCACTTCCCAGTAACGTCTTCCTGAATTGAATCCCTCTGATCCCAACACACCAGGACAATTTTTAAACCTCTTTGCAGTGATAGGGAGAAGCTTCCCTGTCAGAGTCCATCGTAAACTCTTCAAATCCTCAGTCACCTCGAGCCAGGGACTTGCTGTTTCCATATCCAGGGTCACAGAGACTGGGGGAGAAAACAGAGAATTAGAGACAATCCCCAGGACTGGGGGAGTTACTTTCAGTGATTTCCCCATTTCAGGTTTGATTTCCTGTTTCTAAATATCAAGAATAGCTGCTCTGATGGGATGGGAATGAGGATCTGATTATAACAGAAAATACTGGGAAAACCATAGAAAGACTTCCATCTCTAAAAAAAAATCTTTATATCCAGATCATTGAAATTAAATGTTAACTTCATTTCTCTTCACTAACATTGTCTGACTTGTTGAACATTTGCAGTGTTATATTAAAAATACTGATGTCCTGCATCTGCAAAATCTTGCTGTTGTAAACAAGACAGCCACCAGCAGTGTGTGAATCTATGGGGATAGACATAACTGGAGCCTCAATATCAATGTAAAGACCAGTTTAACATACCACAAAAGCAACTTTCAAAGATTGGGCTTCAAACACCTCCCATGTTGCTTACCAGATTATTGATCGAGGAAACTGCCCTGTAAGGCCAAGTGCCATGTGCATGAATGATGGGATTTGTAAGTATGAGGATTTACGGAGGGGCATGTTGACTAGATTATTCAGAGATGGTAAGAACTGCCGATGCTGGAGTCAGAGATAACACAGTGTGGAGCTGGAGGAACACAGCAGGACAGGCAGACTCAGAGGAGCAGGAAAGCTGACGTTTCAGGTCAGGACCCTTCTTTAGGAATCATTTCTGAAGAAGGGTCCCGACCCAAAGTGTCAGCTTTCCTGCTCCTCTGATGTTGCCTGGTCTGCTGTGTTGACTAGCTTATTTGTGTGTTTGGGTCCTTTTGGATGGGAGTTTGCCCGTGTATCGGGATGGATGTGTATAAGACTTCCTAAAGGTAGAAAGCCGAAGCTGTCTGGATGGGGTACATCTGAGGTTATAAAAGGAACCAAGGGTGGAAATTATGCATGCTGTCACCATATTCTTCTAACCCTTCCACAAAATGAGAGTAATACCAAAGGAAAAGAGGATTGCAAATGTATGATGCAAAATGTACATATCATGTTTGGCATTTGGATTTCAAAATAGTGGCAGACAGATTATAATGGCTGGTTACTGTTGCCAATGGTTTTATTTTTAGGTAAACAAGGTCAGACAACCTTCCAGAACAGTGATCTAATCCACTATGTGTCTGATAGCAGGTTAATGCAAATCCCTGTGGCGTTATTGGAAAGGTGTGTAAACCGTGGTGCTTAAGACAGGTAGCATATATTGTAAGGCCATTAGCTTTGCATTCAGTTCAGAAAAACTTAAGCAAGTTTTGTTTTAACTGAGTTCAGAAACATTTTTTTTTAAGTTCAATACATAAGATCACAGCTTTTTTTGATATACAAAAAATGACCCAATCACAAGGTACTCAGCGCCTAATTTAAACATTTGCTTGAATTTGATCATAAGATCATAAGGTATAGGAGCAGAATTGGGCGATTCAGACTATTGAGTCTGCTCTGCCATTCGATCATGGTTGATATGTTTCTCAAACTCATTTTCCTGCCTTCCTGTAACACTTGATCACCTTACTAATCAAGAATCTATCCATCTATATCTTAAATACACTCAATAACTTAGTTTCCATAGCCTTCTGCGGCAATGAGTTCCACAAATTAACTGCCCTCTGGCTGAATAAATTCTTTCTTGTCTCAGTTCTAAAGGGCTGTCCCTTCATTCTGAAACTGTGATCTAGTCTCGTAGCCTGAGGAATCTTTCTGAAGCCCCCCTGCTTCCTAGACACTACTTGTCCCTCCACATATCTTTATGTCATCTGCAAACTTAGCAACAATGTCCTCAGAACCTTGTTCAAATCGTTAATGTGTAACGTAAATAGTTGTTCCAACACAGACCCCTGCGGAACTCTGCTAGTCACCAGCTGCCATCCTGATAAAGATCCAGTGGTTTGCAGAACCAACCCAAGCAGATGAGGAAGGGAATGCACCCCAAAATGAACACCACGTGTAGATCATACTTCACTAGTAAACCAAATGAGCAAGATCAAGTTTAAACCCCAACAAACCCTGCAGTACACAGGCAAAGTTCACTCAAGGTAGAGTACAGAAAGTAAGCCCAGACACTATACTAGTGTTCACAATCAAGTAAAAACCACTGAATTTCAAAAAATCAGATTTGTAAAGGTACCTACTGTAGAAGGGCAGCATACTTGGATTATAGAGGTGGGTGATGAAGGTTTAGAATTGAGCGAGGCAATCCAGCCCTGCAAATAGCAGAACTTGGGTAATAGGAGCAGTTCCGCAACACGGTTAACTTAATCAGATTCAACATGGTTAACAGCCAGGTGGAGAACTGAAATTTAACTTAAGTTTTAACAAGAAGTGCCAAGTGAATGCTGGCAAAGAATGTCCAAGACATCATTGAGACAATATATTATCAAATTTAGAAAAGAGGGGAGCAGCCATTGCATTTTGAAAAGAAATATCATTTATGCTGGACACACAAATAAACAAAGGAAAAGAAATACAGAAATGAATCTATTCCAATGAAGGCGTGCTTTTCATCCGATTTTCACCACAAAGGAAAAAAGAATGTGACAGCATGATATTCTGAATCTAACCAACTTTACAATTATCTGAGTACTAACATAACAATCGAGCATAGCTGTATCAATTAGTTCGAGAATGTAAAATGGGTGTGTCTGTTTACAATATTTTTAAATTAATTTCAAACACCTTATAATGAAACATTGTCCACAGGAATGTTTCATTGCATGAGCTGATGGTGTCATGAAAATGTTTTATGAAGACAATAATTTGTCATTTCATTAGCTGGTCATTTCTCCATTGAAATTTGTTAAAATGATGCATTTTGCTAAACAAAGGACACCAGATTAGTGTAGCTGCTAATCTGTAGTTGTGAAGGCCCTAAGCCAATTTTTGGAAATAAAGAGTCGACAGAACTTACAATTAGACTGTGCCATTTCTTGGAGGTATAAACAGCTCCAGTTTACCTCATGAAGCTGAATGGTGGATTATGCAAGTTAATGGCTGGGACATTTTAAAAATTAATTACCTTCACCTAAAATGAGACAATGTCTAAACTGAAATTAGAGGAGAGATACTTTGGCCTAGTTCTTGGACATGGAATACACTGGATCTGAATTAACAGCTAGAGATTGACATAGGGATAGTGTGGGAAATTTTCACTCTCTGAAAACTCTCACAAAAATTGCACCTTGATTGTAATAACCTACCAAAGGAGTCTGCAAACAGAATTCTCAAAGGAGGATTCCAACTCAGCACCGCTCTCACTGAGAGAAACAAGAATAAACCAGTCATAGCGGCTTTTTAAAGTAGTAGCAAATACTGTAAAATAATTTCTTCAACTGTGAAAAACATCAATCCATGATTTTTTTTTCCTTTGCTAAGTTTAAACATCTAATAGTCTGTAAGATTTGATTTGGTTTTGCATGCTTGGGTCAGTTTTATCTCTATTTTTGTATTCATAAGAAGTTAACATATTTGTTCTTTACAAATACCTTTTAAAAGATAATTTTCTTACCTTTGCCAGAGTTTTAGTAATAAAACTAATTCTTTTCCTGTTTAGTTCAAGCACTTTAACTGGCTTTATTTCTTACAATATTGGTCCGCTGAGCAAAGCAATGGCAAATAGAATGCGACTTGGCTAAGTTGGGAAGGGCTAAAGAGACAAGGGATCACACTACGAATATTAATACCCTGGGAGGGTCTTGTGTGCAAGCATAATGTCCATTCCTCAGGGCCAAAAGGCCTAGGTTCAAGATCCAACTGCTTCAGCCATGTGTCGTAATGTATTTGAATCAGTTGATTAAAAATATTGGTCAGATCTTAGGAAAGTAATGATGATCAGTGGGACCTGGTAATGCATACCCTGAAAAAGCAGGCAAAATAGATAAGGTGACTAAGAAAATACACGGGATACTTGCCTTTATTAACCAATGGGCAGCTTTCCTTGAAGGTTGAGAGAAGAATTGATAGAGGTGAATAAGATTATGAGGAGCATGGATACAGCAGATAGGAGGGTACCTTTTCCATTAGCAGAGGGGTTAATGACCGGGGATGTCGAATTAAGGAAAGCAATAGAAGGTGAACAAGAGAGTTGAGGAGATTTTCTTTTCATTCAGAGGGTGGTGTGAGTCTGGAAGTCACTGCCTGAAAGGTGTTTGAGTCAGAAACTCTCATAATATTTAAGCAGTACTTAGACATTTACTTGTGTCATGATAGCCTCCAGAGCCACGAGCCATAAATTGGAAATGGCTTTAGTGCAGTCTGATCATTATTGACCAGTGTATGATGTTCTGAATGACCTCCTTCAGTGTTGTAAAGACTATGCATCCACGATTGGCAACATCAAATCCATTTTAAATTCAAATGCTGTCATATAAAACCCAAGAGTGAGAAAAAGAGGGGAGTCAGTTCACTCCACCTAACTCAATCATAACAGCCCTCCCAGACCTCTGAGATGGAGACTTCAAATGATTCACCAATCTTTTAATGAAAAGCTCACTCCTCAACTCAGTCATAAATTACTGCCCTTTGTTCTGAGACATTGCCCTATGGTTCTAGATTACAGCCCCAGCCAGGGAAACATTCCTCCTGCATCTGCCCTGTCGAGCCTGTAAGGATTTTGTATGATTCAATGATATCCTCTCCCATTTGTCTTTAGTGATTACAGGCTCAGTTTCCTCATAGGACAGTCACACTATCCTAGGAATCTGTCTTGTGAAGCTCTGCTCCACTCCCTCTATGGCAAATATATCTTTCTTCAGGTAAGGAGGTCAAAAGTATGCACAGTATTCCAGATGCCTCAAGGCTCTGTACATTTGCAGGAAAACCACTTTACTCCTGTACTGAAATCCTCACGCAATGAAGGCAAATGTACCATTTGCATTCCTAATTATTTGTTGTACCAACATGTTGTCTTTTAGTGATTTATAAATAACAATGGGCAGATTCCTTTCAGCATCTCCATCTCTTCTTAATTAAGAAATACTCTGCCTTTCTGTTTCCCCTATGCAATTGGGAATCATGTTTTCCTATCTGCCATTTTTTTGTCCATTCACTTGGCCTGTCTTGACCCCACTAAGCCTCACTGATAGCTGGAGCCCAAGAACTGAACCTTGTAGTGCTCCACTAATCACAGCTTGTCAATTTGAGATTGTCCTGTTTACTCCCACTTTCCACTTTCTGACAATGTGCCAATTCTCAATCCTTGCCAGCAGCTTGGCTCCTTGAGAATCATATCCTGACTCCTGAGATTTACACAGTCCTGATGAAAGAATCCACATTTCTTGAAAGACTATCAGCACACAGTCACAGTTAAAAAATATATACAGCGATTATGACCGAGTATTGGTCATACAGAAAAAAAATCATGTGTCGACTAGAAAGTATTGGTAACTGCTTAACATTCAGGCACTTCCAAGCAAACAAATCGGTTTAATATTGTGCCACAAGTTATTCAAGCACCATCAGTTGTTAACGCTGATACTTTCTCTGGGTGTATTAAAAATCTTTATCCAGGGTGAGTGAAATGTTTACCGAATGCAACTGAGAAAAGACACCTTGCATTGTAATCCAGTTCTTGCTGACCATGTCCACAGTGAGCACCAGCTGACTCTACCTCCCTCACCACTCCACTTCCCTCAACAGGCAGACAAAGCCTCACTCTGAGGGTTCCTGTCCTGACCTTGGTCACGGAAATGAGGGTGATACACAGGGTGGAGATGTCACAGGAGAATGAGGATTGGAGAGGAGGAAAGGTTCAGCTGAAAAGGGTAAGGTTTCTACTTGATGAGGTTTGTAAAGTATCGATGGAGCTTGGAAACAGAGACTCATGTGACAAAATTCCAGTATTAACTATGGTCAGTCAGATGAAATGTTTCAGTATTGCGTTCATAGAACACGTATTTGGTGCATCAAGATGTTTATTCCATTCCAGTCTGTTCTAAACTATGTTCCTTGTAACTAAATAGAATTTAAAGACACTCACTTTGACATTTTATACATAATGAATCTAAAATGAGGTACAAATGAGAAAAAAAGAAACAAAATGAGTTTTTACCGTGCTTGAATGTATCCAGGTTTTCTCTCTCAACTGTTTGCAGTAAAGGACCATTGATTTTTCCAGTAGACTTCATGTCACCTTCTAATGGCAGAGTATTAATGTCATTGCTAGTCCTACAAATATTAAACAGAACAATACTTAAATATCAGGAGTCAGCCATATGATCCATCAAGTTTGCTCTGCCATTGAATAAGATCATAGTAGATTCTTATTTATTTGTTTGTGGGATATAGGTGTTGCTGGTTAGGCCAACATTTATTGCCTATTCTTAACTGCCCAGAGGCAGAAAAAAGTCAACCATATTGCTATGCACCACTGGAGTTGCATGTAGGCCAGACCAGGTAAACATGGCAGATTTCCTTCCCTAAAGGACATTAGTGAACCAGATAGATTCCTATGACAATTGACAGTCGTTACCATTAGGTTAGCCTCTAATTCCAGATTTTTATTAAATTCAAATTTCATCATCTCCCATGGTGGGATTCAAACTCATGCTCCCAGACCATTAGCCTGAGGTTCTGCATTATTTTTCTAGTAACATACAACTCGGCCACCATCTCCCCTAATCAGAGCAGATCAAACCCACTTTCTCACCTACTCTACATATTATTCAATTTCCCTTGAAAACAAAAATCTTCCTATTTCAGCCTTAAGTGTAATTACTGGCTTTAGGGGTTCTGATTCCAAAGATACATAACACAGTTTTAAATGATTGATCCCTTATCTTGAGATTATACGCATCGGTCAAGCCTGTCCGCTCAAGGGAAGCTACTTTTCCATGACTATAATGTCAAGCTACCTCTGAATATTAAAAGCTTTATTGAGATCATCCCCCCACCCAATTTTCTAAACACCAGAAAATTTAGACACAATTTACTCAATCTCTCATCATAGGACAGGAATTAATCTATTGGATCATCATTGCACTCTCTATGAGGCTAGTGTATCCTTCCTTAGACAAGGGAGTCTAAAACTGTGCATATTGTTCCAAATGTGGTCTCACCAAATCCCTGTACAATTATATCAAGACTTGCATGCTCTTATACTGAAAGCTCTTTCAATGAATGTCACCAAATTATTTGTCTTCCTGATTTAGAAATGGGGCAGGGGAAGGGGTTTCTGAAATAAATAGGGAGAGAGGGGGAGGCAGATAGAAGATGGATAGAGGAGAAGATAGGTGGAGAGGAGACAGACAGGTCAAAGAGGCAGAGATGGAGCCAGTAAAGGTGAGTGTAGGTGGGGAGTTAGGGAGGAGATAGGTCAGTCCAGGGAGGACGGACAGGTCAAGGGGGCGGGATGAGGTTAGTAGGTAGGAGATGGGGGTGGGGCTTGAGGTGGGAGGAGGGGATAGGTGGGAGGAAGGACAGGTTAGGGAGGCAGGGACAAGCTGGGCTGGTTTTGGGATGTGGTAGGGGGAGGGGAGATTTTGAAGCTTGTGAAGTCCACATTGATACGATTGGGCTGCAGAGTTCCCAAGCGAAATATGAGGTGCTGTTCCTGCAACCTTCGGGTGGCATCATTGTGGCACTGCAGGAGGCCCAGGATGGACATGTCGTCTGAGGAATGGGAGGGGGAGTTGAAATGGTTCGCGACTGGGAGGTGCAGTTGTTTAGTGCGAACCGAGCGTAGGTGTTCTGCAAAGCGGTCCCCAAGCCTCCGCTTGGTTTCCCCGATGTAGAGGAGGCCACAATGGGAACAGCGGATACAGTATACCACATTAGATATGGGCAGGTGAACATCTGCTTGATGTGGAAAGTCTTCTTGGGGCCTGGGATGGGAGTGAGGGGGGAGGTGTAGGGGCAGGTGTACCATTCCTGCAGTTGCAGGGAAAAGTGCCGGGTGTGGTGGGGCTGGAGGGGAGTGTGGAGCAGACAAGGTCGTCCTGGAGAGAGTGGTCCCTCCAGAAAGCAGATAAGGGTGGGGAGGGAAAAATGTCTTTGGTGGTGGAGTCAGATTGTAGATGGCGGAAGTATCAGAGGATGATGCGTTGGATCCGGAGGTTGGTGGGGTGGTACGTGAGGATGAGGGGGATTCTGTTTTGGTTGTTATTGCAGGGAGGGGGTGTGAGGGATGAGTTGCGGGAAATGCAGGAGACACGGTCGAGGGTGTTCTCGACCACTGAGGGGGGGAAGTTGCGGTCCTTGAAAAACGAGGACATCTGAGGTGTACGGGAGTGGAATGCCTCATCCTGGGAACAGATGCGGCGGATGCGAAGGAATTGGGAATAGGGGATGGCATTTTTGCAGGAAGGTGGGTGGGAGGAGGTATATTCTAGGTAGCTGTGGGAGTCGGTGGGCTTGAAATGGATGTCGGTTTCCCCCATTTCTGAAGAAGGGTCGAGGCCTGAAACGTCAGCCTTCCTGCTCCTCTGATGCTGCTTGGCCTGCTGTGTTCATCCAGCTCTCCACCTTGTTATCTCAGATTCTCCAGCATCTGTAGTTCCTGCTATCTCTGCCTTCCTGATTGTTTGCTTTACTTGTCACTAACACTCTATTTTTCTTGAACAAGAGCACTCTAGCATAAGCATTTAAAAACTCTCACCATTTCAAAAATATTCTGCTTTACTATATTTTATTAATATTACTATTATATTCTACAAACACGTTTGAATTAGGAGCAGAAGTATACTCTCTCTGCTGCCTTATTGCCCGCTCACTTTTCCTGTCTATATATTTTTGCAGTATCTTAGTATCCTCCTCACAACCTGTCATACCCAGCTTTGTATTGCAATCAAACCTGGAGAAACCAACTTCATTCCAATTACTTAAGTCATTAATATAGATTATAATGGGGTGAGCCCCCAGAACTGATCCTTCAGCACCCTAGTAGTTAAAAATGCTGTCAACTTGAAAAGGCCCTGTTCATCTCGTCTCTCTGCATTGTGTCCATTATCTGACCTTCTATCCATGATAACAAATTGAGTATAATTTGAATAATAACCTTCTAGGAATAGCCATTCAGCCCATCATAAACTAGCCACCATTCTCATCCCAATTTCCAGCACCTGGTCTGGAGCTGTAAAAGTTGCACCACTTCAGGTTAAGATACAACTTTCCCATTTAAATGAGTTGACTGTTCCTGCCATGTCCACCAAACTGGACAGTGAACTCCAGACACTCACTACATGGTGGGTAAAAAATATTCCCTTCTAATCCTTCTAATAATCAGTTTACATCCTTGGAAATTAACAACTCTGCTCAGCTGTAGTTTCTTGATTTCTCTTTTTCTCCTTCCTTGAAGAACAGTGTGACATATATACCTAGCTAACTGATTATAAATTGGTATTGGCACTTTCCTGGATTAATTTGCCAGATTATACAGAGTACCTGTAAAGAAGATGTCATACCTCATCTTCTGACATGTTTCCTCCTGAAATAAATAAAACACAAATTTAAGTGCTACAAACAACTGCTTATGTCCAATAAACAGAAATTACATTGTCCGCATTGTTACAAGCTCTGGTTAATTCTCAATTCTGACTCCTGCATACTCTGAAAGAAAGATAATCTTACAGAAATGATATAAAAGCAGAGGAGAGAATATAAAAAGATTTAGAGGAATAATGCCAGAACTGAATATACACCCATGATGAAAGACTGAAAAGGCTGAGTGTCTTCATCCCAGAAAAGTGAATCCTGAGAACTGAACTGTGGTCATTAAAATTAACAAAGGAATCATAAGGAAAATGCATAGAACTTCTGGGGAATTCAGTTAGGACTTGTAAGTAGAAAGTAATGACTAAAAATCTAAAAGAGGATTCAGGACAATATTCAAAGAAAAGTGTGTTTGAATATATAACTTTTTACCACATAAGTCGGTGAGGCAAATAGTATAGCTACACTGAAGGGATAGCCAGGTTTATACATGAGAGAGATGAACACAAAGATAAGGTGAGATGAATTGAGGTGCAGTTTTGTTGGAAATAAATTGTGGTATAGATCTTTTGGATGAATTACCTTATCTCTGCGAGAAAAAGCTTTTCAGAATTTTACACTAAATTCAAGATAAACAGTAGAAAATGCACTGTAAGCACTAAAAAAAATCACTAAAGCAGCTAATAGGGACAAGATATCTCCTTCTCTTTTTCTCTGACTCAACATTTTTTCAAGGACAGTGATTTTAGGAAGGTTGTACTCATCAGTTGCAGGACTACTAGTGGATAGTCAGGCCTATTCCACGACTTGCAAGTACAAGTGAAGATATAGTCACTGCTGAGGATAATTGGGTCTAACCTCCTCCACTATCATACTGGCTTATCATTCAGTCTCAAAGGCATCTGCAGCACTTCCAATGCAACATCAACAGTCATCATGATCCATAGCATGCATTTCCTACTGGTGTGGTCAATGCAGCAAGCAGAGAAAGATTACTTGTGTGAGGTCTCTCTATTCTGCTTACCAACAGTCAGCTTTTGATACAGTACCAACTGGACAGACGACTGTTGTCCATCAATCTGGGCAATGTAATCCACCCAACTCAGTTTGGCTTTGAAGGAGGATGGCCTCAATGCTGACGATATTGGCTGCTTCCAAGACTTTAAAGTTTGTGATCACGTCGTACCAGTACAACCTAAGCATGTTATGGAGACGGTGCTGATGGAAGTCCTCAAGGAGTACATAACAGTGATGCACAATCCATGACTCAGCAGAAAGCCAGTGAGCTCTATGGCTTTGTAAACTTTGATCTTGGTCTGCACTCTAAAGCTGTGGTTGCTTCAAATTCATTTGTAAAGTTTGCTGACTGCACTGTTTGGTTTTGAAAGATTCTGGTCACCAGTTATAAGAAGGATATTATTAAGCTGGAGAGGGTTCAGAAGAGATTTACCAGGATGTTGCCGGATATGGAAGGTTTGAGTTATAATGAAAGGCTGGATAGACTGTGATAGTAGGAACTGCCGATGCTGGAGAATCTGAGATAACAAGGTGTAGAGCTGGATGAACACAGCAGGCCAAGCAGCATCAGAGGAGTAGTAAAGCTGACATTTTGGGTCAAGACCCTTCTTCAGAAATCTTCAGAAATGGATAGACTGGGACTTTTTTCACTGGAGCACAGAAGTTTATAAAATCATGACAGGTACAGGTAGAGTTAATGGTAGTTGTTTTTTTCCCTAGGATGGGGGATTTCCGGTCTAGGGGGAACATTTTTAAGGTGAGAGGAGAGAGATTTACAAAAGACATGAGGGGCATATTTTTTACTCAGAGGGTTGTTAAAGTGTGGAATGAGCTTCCAAAGGAAGTGGTGAATGTGGGTACAATTACAATGTTTAAAAGACATTTGGATAGGTACATGAATAGGAAAGGCTTAGAGAGATATGGGAGCAGTTTATTTTGGGATTATGGTCAGCATGGACAGGTTGGACCGAAGGGTCTGTTTCTGTGCTGTATGACTCTACGACTGTATTATGGTATTATTAAGATAAACAGGTATGGTTCAATGACAATAATAAATTCCCCCAAACTTGATAAAACGACTGATTGTTTTAAATCAGTTGTGAATTATGGAAAAGTTCTGCATTTAATTCACAATCCTCATCAGTCATGTTGTAACTGTTCACTTTCACTGAATGAAACTGAAATAAAATCCCTCATCTGCAAAGATATCGCTCTGTCTTTTTCTTCCATCTATTCCTGTAACTTGGAGCGTTTCTCCTAAAAAGAGTTGATGTTCTCTCAATTTTCTCAAAGCTTTCCCTCCATGTGTTTTTAGAATCATCTCCTGTTGTTCCAAGATCTCGGATTAAACACCTGTTCTTCTCAGTGAGAAGCTGGTTCATTTTAGCAAACTTGTTGGTCAGATAAATGCATTTGAAAAGCCATGATAAACTTGTGAAATGACATAGTCAGTTAAAATTTGCCATATATCACCTTCACTTTAGAATGAATAGGTATTAAACAATTATATGAAATGCAGCTGAAATCATGTGCATTTCCAGAGCAGTAGTAAAGCCAGTTACTGTAAGAAAAGGCAAAGCAGAAGTAGAACTGTGGCCTGCAATTCTGAATGATGGATGAGCCAGAATACCAGAATTATCATTGACGTATCCTGTTCATCTTACTTGATGTCACTATTGACATGTAAACTGCACATTCAGCTGACTCCAAAAGCAATTAAATTTTCTAATTCCTGGTGTAGTGGATATAAAAGACAATATGCAACAGGATTGGAATTTCTTCCAGTGTCAATCACAACATTTTGAAGTAGCCACAGAGTTCAAAAAGAAATCTGAACCAGAAAGATTAGCAATTGTGTTAACAGTGCTCCCATGCTACATGCTGTACTGCATCCTCGATGTCACCAAGAAGCAGAAAAGCTTTATTGCAGAAATTTTAAAGACTTTGAAGGCTCATTTTGAAGTAATGTTACTAACCAATGATATTTGTTCAACATCAAAACCTAAGAGGAAATGGAGAATATTGATCAGTATGTGGTGGCACTGAGTTATCTAGCTGAATGTGGACAACTGAAAGATGATCACATTAGAGATAAGACATCCTTAAATATAAGAGATCCCACCATGAGAGTAAAACTGCCAAGTGAGGAAAAATCTACTCTCAAAGAAGCCATTGATGGATGCAGAAGCTGTAAGGTTAAATAGAAAGATCAACACCAGAGTACAGGATGTTGTGAAGTACACCAGACAAATTAAAAGAAAACATTATTCTAGCTACAAGAAGCAGAATCACTTTGCACACAAGTATTTAACAAGTAAAAGCAAACCAAGCCTATAAAGATGGCTGTTAGAGAGATGTCAGATAATGAGTCTGATGAATTACCATGTAATATGTTGGCACCTTCAAATCTAAAGGTTATAAATAGTTTGTGACTGTTAGAGTAATGACTGCAGAAGGAGAGTATCATGTGAACGTGAATCAACAAAACTGATGGTTTGTATAGCATCATGTGCTCCGCAAAACAATGTAAGATAGCTCAAGGTGGTGTCCCAAAAATTAGGTCCTCAAAGTTAACATTAAGGCTACATGATTGAACAATCCTATCCCAAGGAGAAAAATTAAACTAAGAGCGAATGCAATGGGAAGAATCAAGATCTTCAGTTCCAAATAGAAGATATGAAGTAAAAATACACTTATCTCTCAGTTGAAGCAACACCTGGACTTGTACCAAGATGTAATCAAGAAGAAACTTGTAGTGTTTTGTAGGTCACTAAGCCACTGACTGTCAAACAAATCCCAAAAGATTATGAAGACTGTTTAACAGGCCTTAAATGGTTTCCTAGTGAATGTCATCTCATAGTAGATGGAAGTGTGATAATAACTCAGCATCTGCTGAGGAGAATTCCAGCTGACCTTGAGTTAAACGAAGTGGAAAAAAAAGAGAATGAAAACCCTTATAGACTGGATTAGCAGCCTGTAAATAAACATAGAAAGTTATAAGTGTGTATGGATCAAATTATGTAAATAAAGCTTTAAAAAGATTTCACTAGCTTGTGCCATCCGTTGAAGACATTTACCACAACTTGGCCAAGACAAAGGTCTTCACCCCCAATGCAAATAATTGCAAGTGAAGTTGGATGAAAGCAGTGTTCTTTTTTTTAATTGGAGAGTGATGATCTAGGAGTGACAATATCAGGAGTAATTCAGAAGCCAAACTAAAGCTCTGGGAATAAAAGCAAAATTCTGTGTTTGCTGGAAATCCAAAACAAACACAGTGAATGCTATAGAAACTCAGCAGGTTGGCAGCATCAGTAGAGAGAGAGTAATGCTCTGGGGACACAGGTTTAAATCCTTACACAGTAAATAAATCTGGGATTGAAAACTAGTTTCAGTAATGGTGACCATGAAAACTTTCATAAATTGTTGTAAAAGCCCATGTGTTTCACTAGTGCCCTTTTAAAACAGAAATCTGCCAACCTGTTAGCCATTAACAGTCCCCCTTAATAGCTATTCACCCTCCTAGCCAGATTATTATCCACTCCTTTGTCTGTCCAAACGTTCTTTTCTCTCTCTTTGGGCTCTATCTTATCCCCATCTATCATTTACTCTTTTTCCCCTTCCCCCCACCTTATTTTCTGCATATAAACTGGAAAGGTCACTCAGCCTGAAACATTAATTGATTTCTCTCCACAGATGCTGCCAGTCCTGCTGAGCTTTTCCAGCATTTTCTGATTTTGTTTCTGATTTACAGCAATCACTGCTCCTTCAGTTTTTAATCTACCAACCTTACTCAGTCTGGCTCACATGTGACTCCACAGACCTTTGCAAGGTGTCCCAAAAGACAGTGACATACTGTTAACTGTCCCTTGCAATGACCACTCACTTCAAGGGCAATCAGGGATTATCAACAAGTGCTCATCTTGCCACTGATGCCCACATCCTATGATAGAATAAGTGAAAAAGTACATTCTGTATGTCATTTGGGAGATATAAATGATTGCACATGAACTTCTGGCATTTTCATTGCTGCATAAGAGTTTCCACAAAGAGAACATGAGACAGTGATCTTCCTGGGGAGGAAGTTATCTGGGGTGAACTCATGATGGTGAATGCAATTGCCGATCATAATGAGAATCTAGTGTGACTGCTGGAGAATTGTCGCCAGATGAATCTAAAGCTGAATAAGAAAAAGTTGCAATTGAAGCTGCTTGGAGTCAAGAATCAAGGCTATATATTGACAGCAAAAGGGCCTTGAGTCTTAAAGGTGAGAACTGTAACAGAGATCAGCAATTAACAGATGTGAAAATGAATTGAAGAACTGAAGGAGTCATTACCAGACTTGAAATGTTAACTGTTTCTCTCTCCAGAGATGCTGCCAGACGTGTTTTTGTTTTGAACTAGTGTTAGGAAGTGGTACCTGTGCCAATAAAAGACCAATATACCTTAGAGATTAAGAATGACATAGATGCACAGTAATAGAAAAAAGTAGGGTGTCACAAATCAACACACAGTTTTGCTGCTGAATAAGAATTGTCTTTGGTGAATATATACCAGAGTGTCTTGAGGCTGCAAATTACAAACAAGGCGTTGACGTTGCGCTTTTGACTTGTTATCGATATTTGACCTCTGTTGTAAGTTGCTTTAACTAAATGTTACAATTGTATTTTGATTCAATAGACATTTAAAAGTTCTTTTGTTTTCAAATTCAACGCAGCGCGAGTTTACCCTAATTTGTGAAATCTCTTTTTGCTGCTGCTCCATTTCTAGCGTCCCTGGTTTCTTCTCTGTGAGAGAATCTAAGGAAGATTTCACCCGGTCCTGGGATTGGGAGAGAAAATCAGAAAATCAGTGTTAGACCCTGAAAGTGTGATGAAGTAATCAGGGGCTGAAACCTGTTTCCTTTTACCTTGTAAATTCCAACAGCTTCTTTAACCGGGAATGAAGCACTGCTCTCCGTGTTCACGGGAATCCCTACAAGTCACACACCAATTTCTTGGCAGTTTCACAAAACAGCTTCAGTTGTTCCTGATGTTCCTCACAGTGACATTTACTTTCCTTCTCGTGGTTTCTGAATTAATTTTCGAGTTTTCTCAGTCAGTTTTCGCCATGAACCGGCTGCCTCTGAAGTTTATTTCCGGACACGCCTGTCTATGTTTCGGGCAGGAGTTTACCTCCTTTTCTCAATTCTTCGTGATAAACAGGAACGGTAGAAATCGGATCGGTGAAGAAATCCAGACAAATGGGACGAATTACCTCCCTGTTTAAACTCTGGACCTGCTGACTGAAAACAAGTTCTCACTCAGCACTTCCTGATTCAAATCACTTTCAGTTTCAATGTTTCCTGCGCTGCCGAACGCACTCGGCTCAGTCATTCCCTCATGGCATTCACTGCAATCCAGAAGAAATTCTTGTTATTTGCTGCTCTAGGTCCCGCCCATTCTAAACGGTGGAGACAACCCCCAAAGCAGAATGAGGAATAAACAAGAGCGGCAAGGAATCATTGAATCCACACCGGCGATGTAAAAAATCCCACAGGATTAGTAATGGGAGTGGTTGGAGAGAGGATGGGATTAAGTGGGACCTTTGTCTTGTGAATAACAGCAGTTCAGTTGTTCTTCATATAGTTCTGCCTCAAAGCAGCTGTGTCCGGGAAAAAGGTGTCCAAGGTTGTGAGAGACACGCTGAGCAGCACCTCTTGTCCTTTTCAATCCACCGTGAATCTCCTTCTAATGTTCATTCTGACCAACTTCCCAATAAAAGCAAAAACTGCTGATGGTGGAAATCAGAAAAAGCTAGAAAAACTCAGCAATCTAGAGAAAAACAGAGTTTTCGACTCCGAAATGACTTCTTCAGAATTTTGTAACAACCAGTTACAGTGGAGTATGCATTCATATCGCCCACAACTCGCTCGTTCCTACATACTTTTTCCTCCCAGATCAGGGTGAATTGACGTGGATTCATTGCATGTTGTCGCATGACGACGGCATATTGAGTGAATGGACACATTCACTGTGACTCTGTGTGTGTAGCCGAGGTGACAGGGAGGTCTGCATAATATGCGGGTTTGTCAAACACAGTGTTTAACATCAACCCAAGTAAAGCAGTAAACCAATTGACTGGCCTCGCTGCCGCGGAATGCTCCAAGTAGTTGGGCCGTTCCCTATCACCTGTCCTGGTGGAGAAATTTGCAAAGAGGAACACTTTTGACCAGAGGTCCAACAGGAGGGCTGCAAGGTGTCTCAGTGGTTAGGGGTTGAGTCTGGTTGGGATGCTCTTAGGAGGGTGAGTGCGGACTCCATGAGCCAAATGGCCTTTTTCCACACCGTAGGGATTCTATGAAGTGTAGTGGAGACCCTGTGGAAAGGAGAGGGTGGATCCTATTGTGTTTTTCCCCAAGCAAACTGTCAAAGCCATTTGGCGGAATGCCTCATAACAGAACTTTCCAACAAGCATCAAGATATTGCTCGGCTGGTCGTGAGAAGGACGTTACCTGTGAGATCCTTCATGTTCACCGGGACTCCCTCCACCACACACGTTGCCGAAGCAGCTGTTGTGGGGTTGAGACTGTCACACATCTCCTGCTGGAATGTGCATTTTTTTTTTGGCAAAGCAAGTCTGGAGAAAGATGAAGTAGGTTGTGTGGAAATTTTTCCTGAGCTGCTGGATGATACCGGGACTCTGTGCTCTAAGGTCTGATCATGGGGATGCTCACCAAGACAACCATCCACTGCGCCTGGAGGACCATCAACTCAGTGAAAGATGCTCTTAGGTCTGCCCCAAACTTGTTGGTCTTCCATAGCAAGGAGTTGACCTGGGACGAGTGTTGCAGACTGGCACAGCGCTGAGGGACGCGCTAAAGCTTGGTGCAGCTGCCGCAAGCCGCAATGGCGAAAGACCTCTATCTGAGGTTTTCCTGCTGAAGCTAAATGGGGTCCATTTGGTTATCATATACCCCTGCCTCCAATATATGTAAATGATAATCTTGTACAAGTAAGAGATGCCTTTGGGTTGTTTGTTGGATAGAGTCAAACTCCAATGTTTGTTTCTTCATATGCTACTGTACAGAACCGAACTGCTTTAGGGACTACGTATGTAAATAAAGATATTTTTATGACTAAAGTATTTTTTGAAATAAAAAGTAAACCAGTTAAAACAAGATAACTATGCAGTTTCGGCATTGCTGTGATGTGTTATCATTTAAACATATCTTCATCCAATGAAAATCATACAACAAGCTATTCTTCGGAATAGAGTGACCCTAATTCAAGAGGCATAGTCATCGATTTCTTGGTTGATTTTCGTAGAAAAATGTGCTTAAGTGTTTACATTTAATATTTACACGAATGTTTATTAGCAAGGTTTACTTGAGTGGCGACTGAAATAATAGAAATGTAAAAATGAGACACAACGGTGACGTTCAGCAAACGGCCGAAAACAAAGTATGATCCAACATTGGGACAGGGTTTGAAATTCTTCGCGTTTGCCTCTCTAAATGGAGCCAAATAAACAAATGCCAGAGATATGTGATCGTTGAAACACCCAGTCTCCTGGTAATCATATCAGGGCAATGTTCTACTTTAATCAGGAAATGATGTTTTTAAAAAAAACCGCGGAACAATGCTTCGCAGAGCTGACTGGTGAGCCAGCAGAGGTATTGCACACGAGGTGGGAGAATCGCAGCCATTTCCCCACAGCGGAAGGGAGAAACATCCTGTGCACTTGGATTGATTTACTGCAGCGAGGAACAGCCCAAAGCTGAGGACTGGAGCAAGTTTCCCACTCACCATCACAGTCAGGGACTGGTATTGAGACAAGAGGAATCACTGAGCACAGAATAGTTGCAGCACAGAAAGAGACTATTCAGCCCATTTGTTACATGTTGGGGCCTGGAAAATTCTCACTTTTCTATTCTCTCTGTGTCTACGTTCTGTTTCTATTCTGTAGTTTATTTAACTCCCTTTCCAAAGCCGCAGCTGAATCTGCCTCCATCACACTCACCGGCAGTGCGTTCCGGATCCCAACCACTCGCTGAAGAGAAAATATTTCCTCAGTTCGCCCTTGATATATTTCATAATCGCCTTCAATCGGTGTCCCCGTGTTTTTGACTCTTCTTCCAATGGGAACAACTTCTACCAACTTTGTCAGAATCTGTTATGATTTTTGAACACTGTAATCAAATATTCCCTCACCCAACTCCTCTGGAGGAAGGACAACCCCAGCTTCTCCAATCTCTCCATGTCACCGATGTTTCTCATCTCTGGATCATTCTTAATAGTTCTGCGCTCTCCTTAAATTTTCCCATCCATCCCAAAACGTATTGCCTAGAATTGAATACAAAACTTTGATTAAAGCTGGAACAGACTTTGATTAAAGTTCATCGAATCCCTTTGCTACTTCTCTATTGAACAGACCCAGGATTTGTTTTTTTTTCCATTTTAACTACATTTTCACCTGTCCGTTCATTCTCTGCAACTCTCCTGATATACCCGATATGCCTCTCTGTCCCTGTATTCCCTGCTGAGACCTGCTCTTTACTTTTATCTTCATTCTTCCTACAGAAATGTATCATTTCTCACTCTGTGCACCTATTCACCATCTCTCTACCCTCTTGAAATCCAGGATTATCGTGCCCAATCCTTCCTGTTTTTGTGTCTCCGGAGTAGTTGTTTTCTGCTTACTCGGGATGATATCATTAGTATAAACGCAGAGACGCAGAGATCCTAATACCAACCTTTGCATAACATCACCCTATGCTTTCTTCCAGCCCAATTACAAGAACATTCTGCTCTCTAAGTCAGCCAACTTTGTAGTCATGCGTATTTCCCCATTTTCCGTTGTGAACTTCGTTTAAAAATAACTCAAGCAAACATGTTAAACACGATCTCCCTCTAAAATACAAGATGCAAGTCGCTCACAGTACAATCTTGACGCAATAGCTGATAGAGCAACGATTGGACAAAACAGCAAGCTAGCAGTGGATGCAACGGATCAAAGCTCAGTGAATGCTGACATAGAAAGGTGAGGATCCAACTCAATCCCCTTCTCCTGTTTTCTCCCATTATCTTTGATCTCTTTAACCTTATTGATGTTTACAGAAACGGAAGGAGATCGAAGCCTTACAACAAGAACTAGAGAAGATAAACACCAATCAAGTAGAGGTCTGGAGTGTCACAATAAAACTAATGTGGATTCCACTAATACATAAAACATATAACAGTGGAGATTGAGACAGTACAGTGTGGAGCTGGAGGAACACAGCAGGCCAGGCAGCATCAAAGGAGCAGGAAAGTCGACGTTTCGTTTCTGAAGAAGGGTCCCGATCCGAAACGTCAAATTTCCTATTTCTCTGATGCTGCATGGCCTTCTGTGTTCCTCCAGCTTACACTGTGTTGTCTCTGACTCCATTATCTGCAGTTCTTGCTATATCAATCAGCAGAGGAGATTACCGGACAAGCAGGAACAGAGTGCTCACATCAGCACTCTGGACGTAATGAAGGAAGGAAAGACATTAGTCGCAGTAGCCTTTGTTTGTATCTGATTTGTGTAGGCTTCATTTCCATATCAGCAGAGATGGGGTGTGAATAATATTACAGCGAAATTTACTCATTGAACAAAACAGAAAAAGCAAAGATGTGTCAAGTGTACAACGAACGCCGACCCCATAAATTCTCTTGAAAAGACGAACCTTCAACCTGTTAATTTCTTCACAGCTACTGACAGGTTTGGCAGAAATTGCCAGAATATTTTTGCTTTGATAGTAACTCGCCAGTGACGCCAATCAGCTCGGAACCGATGTGTGTTCCGGAAAAAAAGAGGAAATAGGATTTTCTGTATCGTGATGACAGCAAACAAAATTCAGCATTTCTTTTTTAAAAATAATCAGCAACTTGCAATATTTCTCAACGCTTTGAGGATAGTCAAGGAGATTTTACTGTAGCTGCTAAGGCCCCACTGTTCAGCCTGGGAAATCACCAGAGGATGAATTGAAGTATACACCGTGCAACAGCAAAGGAAGCACCTGAGCGGTGCAGAACGTGGCGTTCATTGAAAAAGTTTCTCAATCTCAATATCCTCAGCTCTTCTGAAAGTATTGGCTCCAGAACAACAGAGCTGAACTCAGCTGTCACTTCGCCTGGGTGACCCAAAGAGTGCCATTGGATAGCATTTCTGAAGAAGGATCCCGACCCGAAACGTCAGCTTTCCTGTTCCTCTGATGCTGCCTGGCCTGCTGTGTTCATCCAGCTCTACACCTTGTTATCATTGGGTAGCAATAGATTGGGGTGTGTTCTCGAGAAAAGAATGAAATGAGAGGGCTATTCTAAATTAGGGGGAAGCTGGATATAGAATCATAGGGTTGTACAGCATGGAAACAGATCCTTCTGTCCAACTCATCCACGCCAACCAGATATTCTAATTTAATCTCGTCCCATTTGCCAGCATTCGGCCCATATCCCTCTAAACCCTTCTTATTCATATACCCACCCAGGTACCTTTTAAATGTTATAATTGTTCCAGCCTCCACCACTCCTCTGGCAGCTGCATACATGCACAACCCTCTGCATGAAAAAGTTACCCCTCAGATCCCTTTTCTATCTTTCCCTTCTCACCTTACAATATTCCCTCTCATTCTGGAATCCTCTACCTAGGAAAAAGACCTTTGCTATTCATCCTATCCATGCCCGTCATGATTTTATAAGCCTCTATGAGGTCACCCCTCAACCTCCAACTCTCCAGGGAAAATAGCCCCAGCCTATTCAGCCTCTCCCTATGGCTGAAATCTCCAGTACTGGCAACGTATTTGCAATTTTTTTTTTTCTGCACCCTTTCAAGTTTAATGACATCTGTTCTAGAGCATGGAGACCAGAATTCAATGCAGCATTCCAAAAATGCACTGAATAACCACAACATGACCTCCCAACTCCCAGATTCAATGCACTGACCAATAAAGGGAAGCATACCTAACGCCTGCTTCACTACTCTATGTACCTGTGACTCCCCTATAAAGACAATGTTTCCAATTTTAGGGATTTGTGGTGGGGATGTGGGAATCAGAACAAGCAATTATAATATTTGATTGTCACCAAGAATGGGAGATTGAGAGGAAGTATTTTTACATAGAGATCTATTAACATGCAGAACATTTTGACGCAGAGGAGGTGGGGCAAATAACATTGATGCATTTAGGGAGAAATTCAGATAAACTTGGGAGAGAATGAAGTAAAGAATTTGTTCAACAAAGAAAAACTGCAGATGCTGGAAATCTGAAACAAAAATAGAAATTGTGAGAGAACCCTCAGCAGGTCTAGCAGCAGCTGTGCAGAGAAGGCAGAGTTAACATTTAGGATAAAGTGAAACTTCTTCAGAAATGACTGTAGCTCAGAAAAGGTTGGTATAGAACATAGAATATAGAACATTACAGCGCAGTACAGGCCCTTCGGCCCTCAATGTTGCGCTGACCTGTTAAACCAATCTGAAGCCCATCTAACCTAAACTATTCCATTATCATCCATATGTTTATCCAATGACCATTTAAATGCCCTTAAAGTGGGCGAGTCTACTATTTTTGCAGGCAGGGCATTCCATGCCCTTACTACTCTCTGAGTAAAGAACCTACCTCTGACATCTGTCTTATATCTATCACCCCTCAATTTAAAGCTATGTCCCCTCGTGCTAGCCATCACCATCCGAGGAAAAAGGCTCCCACTGTCCACCCTATCTAATCCTCTGATCATCTTGTATGTCTCTATCAAGTCACCTCTTAACCTTCTTCTCTCTAACGAAAACAGCCTCAAAACCCTCAGCCTTTCCTCATAAGACCTTCCCTCCATACCAGGCAACATCCTGGTAAATCTCCTCTGCACCCTTTCCAATGTTTCCACATCCTTCCTATAATGCGGTGACCAGAACTGTACGCAATACTCCAAGTGCGGCCGCACCAGAGTCTTGTACAGCTGCAACATGACCTCATGGCTCCGAAACTCAATCCCTCTACCAATAAAACCTAACATACTGTACGCCTTCTTAACAATGCTATCAACCTGGGTGGCAACTTTCAGTGATCTATGCACATGGACACCGAGATCTTTCTGCTCATCCACACTACCAAGAATCTTACCATTAGCCCAGTACTCTGTATTCCAGTTAGAAGCTGAAGATGTGAGAATGATGGCTAAAAGTTAGATGGAGATGGAGCCCAGGGAGAGAGAACAATCATCGGACAGAAAAGAAATGGATAATGTTCAGCCTGGGAGAATCAATAGCTGCTAATGAGGACCATTATTGGCTGACAATGGGTTGGTTGCAGTAACAGCCTATGTGATGACAAGGCCTGGTGTTTGGGATTTGGGAGAAGGACATGGCATAAGGTAATTTATGGAAGTTGGCCCTGATAGGCTGCATGGTTGCTCAGTGGTTAGCACTGCTGCCTCACAGCACCAAGGACCTGGGTTCAATTCTGACATGTCTGTCTGGAATTTGCCTGTCCTCCCAGTGTCTGTGTGAGTTTCCACCAGGTGCTCTGGTTTCCTCCCACAGTCCAAAGATATACAAGTTAGGTGGACAGGCCATGTGAAATTGCCCTATTGTGTTCATGGGTGTGTAGGCCAGGTGGATTAGCCATGGTGGTTATAGGGACTGGTGGGCGGCTGGGCCTGGGTGGGATGCTGTTTGGAGGGTTGGTGTAGACTCGCTGTGCTGATTGGCCTCTTGGGCTGTTGTAATTCTATGAATATGAAAGTTCCCAAGTGGTGCCATTCTTCCAGCTTGCAATGGGGTTTGCCAGAGCAGTGCAGCAAATTGAAGACAGAGATGTTGGCCAGGGAATAGGGTGGTGTGTTGAAGTGGCAGGCAACTGGAAGCCCAGGGACTTTTTTACAGACAGAACATAAATTTTCTACAAAGCAGTTGCCCAATCTATGTTTCATCACCCCAGTGTAGAAGAAAACACATTGTGAGCAGTGAGTATTGTAGACTATTGAGAGTCAAATGCAGGTAAATCGCCGCTTCAATTGGAAGTTATGTCTGGAGCCTTGGATAGAGAGGAGAGAGGAAGTAAACAGGCAGGTGTTATACCTTCTGCAATTGCAGGTGAAGGTGTCATGAGGAATAGAGAGGTGTTGGGAGTGAAGGAGGAGTGGACCAGGGTATCCTGGAGGAATGGCCCCTGCAGAAGGCTGACAAGGGAGAGGAGAGGAATATGTGTATGGTGATGGCATCCTGCTGAAGGTGGTGGAAATAGTAATGAATGATCCTTTGTTGAGAGGGGTGAGGGTCACAGGAGATGGGTCAGACAGGACCGTGTCAATCATGGTGGTTGGGAATCCACTGTTGAGAAAGAAGGAGTGCATTTCAGACACTCCCTTGGAGAAATTCACATCATCCGAACGGATACGACTGAAGTGGAAGAGCTGGGAAAATGGATTGGAATCTTTACAGAAAGGGGGGGTCTAAGGAGGTATAGTCCAAGTAGTGGGAGTCAGTATTAAACTGACTAATGGATATTGGTGGTCAGCCTATCCCCAGAAATGGAAGCAGAGATGTTGAAAAAGGGAAGGAAAGAGTCAGAGTTGGATTAGGTGAATGTGAGGGCCGGGTGGAAAATGGAAGCGAGATTGATAAATTTTTCAGAGGCAAGCAGCATCAATGATGTTATCGATGTACCTGAGAAAGAGTTGTGGGTGGGGTCAGAGCATGACTGGAAAAGGAATGGTCCAATGGACCCCAGAAAGAGACAGGCATAACTGGGGCCCTTGTGGGTACCCATGGCCAGCTCTTTGACCTGAAGAAAATGGGAGGAGTTAAAGGAGAAGTGTTCAGACTAAAGACTAACTCAGCCAAGTGGAGGAGGTTGGTGATGGATGGGGATGGTCCAGGCCTTTTTTCCAGGAAGAAGCAGAGAGCCCAGAGGCCATCCTGTTGGGGGATGAACGTGAAAAGAGATTGCCTAACTGCTGCTCTGTTCTGTCCCTAAATGGGCTCCACATCCATCTATCGTTTACTCCTCCCCCATCCTCCCAACCCATCTTCAGTGTATATACCAACCTTTTCCCAGCTACAGTCAGTTCTGGGGGTCACTGAATCCAAAGAGCTAACTCTTTTCTAGCCACAGATGCTGCGAGACCGGCTGAGTTTCTCTAGCAATTTGTTTTTGAGAAGAATTTTTGATGGGGTTAGAAAAAGGAAGGGGCAGTCTCGTAAACTATATAAAGTACAATCATGGATGTGTAGAGAGTTCTTGTGGTGCAGTAATAGTATCCATTCCTCTGAGCAAGGAGGCCTGTGTTCAAGTTCCATCTGCTCTAGAGCAGTGCTGTACATTTCCCGGACAGATTGAAACAAAATACCTAGGCTATTTGCACTTTCTTTCTGTAAATTATATTTAATACACTGTGGTATAATTACATTCTGGAACGTTCGTAGAATCCCCCGCCAGGCAACACGATAAGGCTAGTATTTCACAATCGTGTAATAGTGACTAAATACTCGGCATTCGACTTACCTGTCCAAACATCCTCAGCGCTCTATCCCACTTTCAATGTCATCATGTAACGTGGTGAGGTGGGGAAGAGTGTTGCCAAGATAACAGAATTTATGAACCGGTGAGGTCTGGATTGTAATGATTGGGTCTCAGAGTTTGTGGTCAGAGGCAGATAGGCGTGAAATTACTGTCGTGTTCAGACTCGTCAACAAGCGAGGTGTTATAAGGGACAGCAAAGCCGTCAACAAGCAATTGAATGTCCTCTTAAATAGCTAATCCAGGAGCACAGACATCAGCGAAAAAGATTTTATCTTGACAGTTATAACTTGATGCTTGTGAAAGCCTTAAACCTTTGTAAGTGCTGATTCTGAACTGTGAAACTTCACCGAGCTTTCTACAGCTCACAAGTACCATCTTTTGACTGAAATCGGTACTACCCTTAACCGTCAGGAAAAGTTGGACCCTGCAATGGGCGGAAAAGAGGCGTTAGCCAATCAGCTGCGTGTTTTATACCCAGCACGTCTATGAAAATGAAAAGTCTGTCATTTAAACTCAATAGTTACAAATTTCCTGTCTCTTTGCAGAAATATTTTGTGTATAGTTCATCACTAATAACGCGAGATGCTCTACACCGGAGCAACGTTCGCATTCACTCCACAATTTATGCTGTACGTGCTGCTTTCATATAAAATGAATAGGGACAGTGATGGGAAAGGGCTGGTATGGAGCTGTTCTCCTTGCACATATTTCCCTAAAGGATGTCACGAAAATATCAAACCTGACACTCTGCTCTTTCTCACTGCCACATCATTCTGACAATACTCCCTTACGCTGAGACTGTCTTTCCATGCTCTGTTTAACACTGACTCAACCCGTCCTCACACGCTAAAGGCTCAATCCAAGGATTTGATCCCTCTCCCTTTCTGCTCTCGTGCTGCACTTTACTCCATTTTTCCGTTTTTTGTACTTATTCCTATCTCCAGAATATCACCCATTTCCATCACCACCCTACAGTACCTTGTAATTTTATATTGGTTGTCTCTGTCAAAGTAACCTTGTCGGTCAGGCATGCTGTGCAGCACGGTTAACGCTTATTCATAGCTACATATATTAATACAGATTGCCCTGTATTTTACAGACAGAAATAACAGCGGCTTGTTTCAAATGATCAAAATAGGCAACAGCCAGTTGAGCCAGTGGCTCATTTCTCATGGTATTAACTTGACAAATTCAAGTCAATTTGCCTGACTTAGAATTAAATAAAGCTTGGCAGCTAGCAGTCAGCATGATCTAACTGGTAACTTTTGCATTCAACATCTTTATTTTACAAGTGGCTTCTGATTAGAAATCAGCTTTCTCTTCTTGTACAATATAGAAAATCACATTCCCTATTACATTGTGATTCACAAAAAGACCATTAATCCCAGAACATCCTCTGTAAATTGGAAAAACAAAAAATGCTTTTATACAATATCCAAAACAGACAGGGTACAGTTCTCTATTCCTCGTGCAGTAATAAAATCATTAGGAGAATATTCAAACTGGTATGCCTTATTGAACATCTTGCTTAAATTTGAGCACTCAGGATTCAGTTGTTAAACAGGAACTGTGATAGTGCAAGGAAGAAGCTATCTTACACGAGCTTTACTGCATTTTGCTTAAAAACTACTTGCAGGGCTTTAGCTGGTCTGAAACTAACTAATTCTTCACTCTAAAAGATCTAGCTCACTCTCCTCTCCTCTTCTGAGGAGTACTATTCTATCAAGCCTTCCAGCTCTGTGATCTTCATAGGACTACCCAACGTTAAACATAAAACTAAGTCTCTAAAAGTCTCTAAGTTATGTACATTTCCATTAAAGCAAAATTCCAGAACTCTAACAAATGTTCAAGGCCCCATCATTTAACATGTTGGGTCGCAAACAATCCAAAATAAACAGAAGTCCATTAAAGCACAAATCCATTCACTCTGCAGCCAGGCTTCCAAACCTGTTTTAAAAAGAAATTGCTATGTCTACAAAGATACTTATAAGTTAATAATTAAATGTCAGACACATACAAATGCTCACCAATTACTCAAATACCAGACCCAAATATCATTAAAAAACATAATTGCTACATCACAGGGTGAAAGGTAAAAAAATTAAAACAGCAGGACAAATCCCAGCTCCAGACTGGGGATGTAAATTAGTTGTGTTACTAAGTGAAGCAGGGAGTAATGAAGGAAAGAGCGATGATTCCTTGAACAAATTTAATAAATTACAGAGGACCTCCAACAAACTCTTCATTGATCACATTAAATTAATAGCTTGCAAGCTTACTTTTAGTAGGGAACAATTTAATTTTGCAATATTCACAGTTACAATTCAAAGTTATTGATATACAAAAGGAAAACAAAAGCAACCGTGACATACAGTAAATGATAGAAAATAATAACATACTCCAATTGTGATGCAGTGATTTAGAGTCCTCACTGTTCACATGTCGAAAGACAGCAAACAATAAGGAAAGTATGTGTTAAAACTAATAGTTTAAGCAGGAAAGGTAGTTAATTACATAGCAATACTCAAATTTTACATGAATAGGTTTTTGTTTTTCAAGGTTTTAAGGGGTTTAGTGCAAAGACAAATATTTGGAGTCAAGTTGCAGGTCAATCTTGATCTCAATGAATAGTAGAAATCTTGCGGGCTAAATGGCCTTCTTATTTCTAGTTATTTCTAGGTTCTGAACCCTGCCCTATATAATTGTCTATTATGTAACAAACACTTTATCATTCATTTTATTTTATTCAAATAAAATTTCCATTTTAATTGAATGGGAATAAAATGAAATATGACAGGGAATCAAATTAGAGAAATATACCGTCCATTATGAGATGGCTGATATTAAAATTTACTCAAGTTAATGGCAGTTAATATAGAGTCACATAGAATGGGTGTCCAATGCAATACCATCGCTTTTGGATTCCTGTTATGTCCAATTTACATGTCAAAGTATGAACTTCAATATTTCAGCAACCACAGACGTTTCTTTGAAGTGGGACAGATTTTCAGCTGGGCATTTTCTGAAGTTTGCAATATTGGATAAAGTTTTGGTGGGAATTCTTTCCTAGGAAAAGTGTAGAGATGAGATTTTGTGTCTGCGTTGAAAAATGAAACCGTCTGAGACTCATAATTGAGATAAACACCAATCTTCTTTGGGACATCACCAAGAGAAAGCTGCGGATCGGCAGAGTTATTCACGACCAGATGGTTTTCCAGCCATCCAATGGTCCAGAATCCATTCTCAGGTTTCAGTTTAATCTGTTCCTCCCAATTCACAGATTCTGCAACGGCTCCCAGATTCCACTCGCCTGTCCCAATCACCTCCACTTCCCAGTAATGCCTCCCTGATGTGAATCCCTCTTTTCCCAGCACATAGGATGGGTCCTTCAGCCTCTTCTCGGCATCAGGTTGATTTGTTCCAGTCCATTTTACACTTTTCAGATCCCCAGACACCTCAACTTCCTGATGGCCAGTTTTCTTAACCAAGGTCACAGAGGCTAGGAGAGGAAAGAGCAAAAGTACAGAGATTCACTCAAGGCTAGACACAGATTTATTCAGGATTTAGACATTAAATAATTCAATTAAATCCCTATAGAATCTGAGGATTTTTTTTGAAAAGTTTTTATTTCATTTCCTCTGATTAGAGGTCTTCTGCCTCAATCCCATGGATATGGCATTTTTGATGCTTTCACCAAATCTGGTGTTCCCAGCAGATTTCCAGTTGTTGGAGAAAGAAGGGGATCATCCCAAAAAGGAGAAGTTAATCTCTGACAACGGCAAACTATTGGTTGTTCCACAGGGCAGATCACAACCCCTCAGAGAGATGGGGTGGGGAAGCGAAGGAAGGAATATTCAAATCAATTGCAAAATCACAGAGTTGATGGTGCAGAAGCAGGCCAGCATTCCTGCACTGGTTGTTTGAAGGAGTATTTCACTTAGTGACATGCTTTCTCCTCATAACCTTGCCTATTGCACCTTTTATAATAACAATGTTTTAAATGCTTGAAAACGTAACAGAAAGGATTGATGAGGATAGTGTTGTTGACGTGTTGTATATGGACTTTCAAAAGGCACTTGGCATTGTGTCACACAATAGACAGGTGAGAAGAATTATAGCTCATGGAATATTAAAAAAAAGGGGACAGAAGCAACATGGATACAAAATTAGCTGAATAGTAGGAAACGTAGAGTAGCTGTCGTTGGATATTTTTCAGGCTGGAGGAAGATTTGTAGTGGAGTTACCAGGGATTAGTGTTGGGATCCTTGCTCTTCCTGATCTATATTAATGATCGAGTGTAGGGGACAGCTTCAAAGTTGAAGAGTTATATGGACCTTGAAAACACTGTAAACCATGAGGAGGACAGTGTAAATCTCCAGAAGGACATAGTTGGTAGATTGAGCAGATAGATGGCAGATGAACAAGGACAAGGAGGTTGTGCTGAACTAATAAAAAAGGTATGTATTAGACCTCAGCTACAACACAATACAAATAGAAGGACATGTACACATTGGAGAGTGTGTAGAAAGGAGTTATAAAATGGTTTCAGGGATGAGAAACTTTCATTGAGGACAGGTTTGAGAGACCGGGATTATTCTCCTTTAAAAGAAAGGGGCTAAGAGGAGATCTGATTGATATTTTCAAAGTCATGAGAGGTATGGATAGAGTAGCTAGGGAGAAACTTTTTCCATTCGTGAAAAGATCAAAGTGAGACAGAGATGTAAAGTGATTTGCAAAAGTAGCAAGTGTGATGCGAGAAAATATTTCTTCATGCAACAAGTGGTTTGCTGTGTGCCAGTGTAGTAGGCAGTCAGGTGAGAATCAATAGGGAAGTAGAGGAATATTTGAATAGAAACCATATACAGAAGTATGGAGTTAAGGCAAGAGGATGGCATTAAGTCATAATGCTCATTGAAGGGACCATACAGATATGATGGGCCGAATGGCCACCTTCTGCACCATAACAATTCTGTGATTATTCATGGCTTTCCTGCCTCTAAAATTTACAATGATGCTGATGTAACCTATGTTTTGGAGTAAACTTTTGGTCGTCTATCCTAATACCTTTTCAATGTGGTCCCATGTCAATTTTTCTCTGCTAATATTCTTGTGAAGTAACTTTGGACATTTTACACCATAAAAGATGTTTTATAAATGCGAGATGGTGTTGTTTTGTATTGCGGGGCTTTATACTTACGATAATCGATGTTGTAATTTTTGTAACCTGCAAATGTAAAACAAAACATCATTACAGTGCACCAAATTTCTCATCAGTTAAATCAGACAATTGTACAGTTGCAAATTAGGAATTAAGAATGTTCCCCATTCATTAGTCTGCACTGAAATCTCAGTCAGGTTGGAAAAGAAACATACAGAGACCATGATGGGATTTAAATGCTAGTTAACTTTTGTAATATTGCATGCAATTCCGGTCTCCCTGCTGTAGGAAAGATGTTGTGAAACTTGAAACAGTTCTAAAAAAATTAGAAGGATGTTGCCAGGGTTGGAGGGTTTGAGCTATAGGGAGAGGCTGAGGCTATTTTCCCTGGAGCGTTGGAGGCCGAGAGGTGACCGGAGAGGTTTATAAAATGAGGGACATGGATAGGGTAAATGGACAAGGTCTCTTTCCCATGATGGAAGGAGTGTAAAACTAGAGGGCATCGGTTTAAGCTGAGAGGGAATGATTTAAAAGGGACCAGAGGGGCAACTTTTTCATGTGGGCTGGTGCGTGTTTGGAATGAGCTGCCAGAGAAGTGATAGAGACTGGTACAATTACAACATTTAAAAGGTATCTGGATGGGTATATGAATAGGAAGGGTTTAGAGGGATATGAGCCAAATGCTGGCAAAGAGGATAGATTAATTTAGGGTATCTGGTTGGCATGGACGAGTTGGACTGAAGGGTCTGTTTCCGTGCCGTACATCTCTAAGACTCTATAGCTGTTCTATTCTGTCTACTTAATTGAGGGCAGGCTCGCTAATCGGCAAATACTCTTTGCTGTCTAGTTTTCTTGCATTAATGAAGTCCAAAACAGATGATGACTCCAAGTGCAAGAACAGGGAGTAGTGCAGAGATTTGAATGATGGAATGCATTATTATAGCGGACAACATACTGAGCTTTGACATGTTGCATTTTGACACACTCGGTCTCTTAAACTCAGGAAATAGAAGCCTTTCCTGTCCTGGAAATTGTGAGCCAGATTTTCCAAGAAGTGGCAATGTCATACAATCACCCACTGTATAATGCATATCCTTTGACCTGCCTTTTTCATCACAATATTTATATCACTAGTCAAGTTCACTTCCTGGTCAATGGTATCCCCAGTACGTTGACAGTACGAGGACTCAATGACAGCTATGTCATTAAATGTCAAGGGGTGATAACTAGAATTTTTTTTTGTTGGAGATGGTTGTTTGCCTGGCACTTGTGTCTTCTTACAACTCTCTTCACAATGAACCATAAAACCAATTATCTGAAAGTTCTGATAATTATCCAATTGTTCTAACATTGAACCTCTGTATCAGCACTCTTTACATTATATCCTTTAACCCGGGGTGAATTTGACACTCTCCCACATCACATGTCAGGTGAGAGCTTGGGGACGTGAAATAAAGCAGGTAGCCAGCCCACAACCTCCTTGACCTGTCTTCCATATTATACTGGGCGCTAAGGTATCAGGCAGATATACCACTGTTATTAAGACAAAAACATGGCTCATGGCGAGAAAGGACAGCTTGTGCCTTGTGTACATTAAACAACACCCCCTTTCCTCCTCTCCACACTCTCAAGATGGTACTTCCATTTGGTGCCCCCACCCACCTCCACCCATGCTGTGCCCACTGTGAACCCCCACACCTCGCTGCGGTCTCCAATCCATGCCTGACTAAAACAGCCAGACTTGCCTTCAAGTTCAATATCCATGATTTTTATTCCAGGAGACTGCACGTATTCCTGGTAGGGACTACTACTGGATTCTGGTACTGCAGGCAGTGAGAGGTGGTTTTCGCACACCCCCAAATCAGTAAGGCTGCCCAAAATAAAACTTGCTGCCCAGCAGCGATACTAAAAAAAAGCAAGGTGCCCGCTGACTTCGACAGGATCACGAGAAATGTTCCCTGATCTGGTCACCCTGGAAAGTTCATCCTCTCTCTATTAGATTTAACCACTTTCTGTTGATGCATGATACTTTTAATGCCATGGTGATCAAGTTGAGGCACAAGTCTCCAGTGCTACTGTGTGCACATGCCATGATTTTCTCAAGGAAGTCTTAACTTTGCCAGACGACATACACGTTTTAGAAATTCATGTTAACGTGCCTTGATTGTTCCACAATCTTTGTGGCATTAAGTTTTATTCAATATTACAAACTGACATGGCACCCTCAGACCAATTAATTCTTTTTGATCATTTTGAACTGAGCATTTTGAGCCAATATTTCTCTGGCAAAGTTTTCTTGTCCATTGTGTTCACAAGAGTGTAATCTGAGCCAGTATTATTTTCCAACATCTCTTAGCTTTCTAAGATGCATACAATCAGAACGCAGTGCTTTTCCCATGAGTTCTACTGCTGTCCATGCTTGTAAAAACATTCAATATTACAGTGGTAAAATTCTAAGTTACAAAACCAAAGCTTTCTGATTTCAATCATCATAAATCATGGCTCTGGAATGATTCAGAAATATATCTTACCTTCCAAAATGCAAAACAGTTGTAGCTCTGAAAGTCAAGAACATAGTGAAGTATTAATGAGAGGGGTTCCACAGATAACATCACACCCTTTACAGGTACTGAGCACAAATTCAACATTCAAGGCACTTCCCAGTGCTAATGAAATTATATGGAATTCGTTTCAAAGATAAACAACTGAAACTCTAAACAACTAGGTTAAATTTTAAACTTCTACCACAGAATCCAGAGAATTCTTATAGAGCAAAAAGAGGCTGATTGGCCCATGGAGTCTGCACCAACCCTCCGAAAAGCATTCCACCCACACCCATACAATGGCCAATCCATCTAATGTGCGCTTCTTTGGACTGTGGGAGGAAATTGAAGCACCCAGCAGAAACCCACACAGACATGGGGAGAACGTGCAAACTCCACCCAAGCTGGAATCAAACTCAGGTCCCTGGCACTGTGAGGCTGTAGTGCTAACTGCTCAGGTTTTGATTACATTTTGACTGAAGAAATAATCTGTGTTTATATACATTTCATAAGCTCAGAATCACCATGTTACTCTAAAACCACTATAAAAGGATGGTCAGAGCTTTGGTCAAAACATTTCTGCTATGAAGTAATTACAACATTTTGCAATGTCAGTGTCTCAGATAAACAGGCTAGGTATAATTTTAGGTCGTACCACTTGCTCTCTTCATTACTATCTAGTAACTAAGTGCCATGCAGAAATAAAATGGAACACAGAGCTCATCTCAAAATCTGATGACACAAATGTGTGCCCGTTTGTCTAAGATATTGTAATAGTGTATGGTTGTGATGCCCTGTCCATTTCTCATTGAATGGAGGTTCAAAAGTTCACCAATAGACATTTTAACACTCCAAGTTTGATCTGATTTTTACAATTTCTAATCTCCAGCTTCATTGTCCACTGTCCTTTATATACATCTTTTGGTAAACACCTTAAGATGTTTACTTGATATGAAAGCAACGAGATCAATGGGACAGAGATAGTTAGAACTGCTGATGCTGGAGTCAGAGATAACACAGTGTGGAGCTAGAGGAACACAGCAGGCCAGGCAGCATCAGAGGAGCAGGAAAGGTGACGTTTCGGGTTGGGACCCTT